ATTGACGGATCCCCCAGTTCCGTTTAATTCTGTATCAAAGTTACATGGTTTAACTTTTGACTAACTTTTGTAGCAAAACAGCGTTAACATCGGTGGGTGGCTTTCGCATCTTCGGGAAATTTTCCTTAGGGATTGTGGCTTTTGTCTAAGCAATGAACTTGTCCAGCTCGAACTCAGCCATGCCCTGGTGGCCCTACTGTTACCTATTTGCAACTGCTTATAATGGATGCTAATCTTAATATGTGGAGACCATTCCTCTGCCCTCAACCTTGGGACGCGACAAATGTACATCTGCCAACCACGCTGAATAACTGCTCTGATAAATATAATAGCACGCAGCCATAGTCTCATTTTCATATGAATAATTGAGAGCAATAGTTGCAATGCATAATGTAATTTTTTATTTACCAGTGCTTTTATACACAGCATTGTGGGGTTTTTGTCGGCTTAATGATAATATTACCAAATATACTTTCCCCCGAACTGATGGATGGAGTGTTCCAATTTCAAGCTGTGATTGAATAATTGTAAAAGAGGAGATATTAGAAAATCAGACTGTTTAAGCAATCGTATTAGCAAGAATGAAATATTTTATAATGACTGTACCCAAAGACGTAGAGCTTTAAAATCTAACATGGGGAAAGAGGTGATTCCATGATCGACCGCTTTAGTGTCGGCAAACGAACATGAACATCGAGTTCTGTTTTTACAGTCTTCTGCACTTTCCGGATTCACATATCTCTTTCTATACGTTTGTGAAAGATGTTTTTATGCGTAGGCGTTTAACTTGCGACTCCTTGTCTTGCTCTGACTAAAAACCCCTCTGAGAATTTATTTTATTTCGATATCGTGTTGTGTGTATAATAAAGTGTCATTCTGCAGACTATCATTCTTTACCTCCGGGGGGGGGGCCTAATATGCATGGAAATCGAGAGGCTCCCCGAGGGAAGTTTGTCATCTGTTCTGCGATATTTACCTAAAGGCAGTGTTAGTATCATGTTTGTTGTTGACAAGCTTCGCCATTTGCGGTAATATGTTTCACGCATTATTAAGTTCGCGTAATTTTCCCTTAGTATATAAAATGTTTTGTTGTCGTAAGAAGCGAAGTTTTGCGTGTTTCTGAATTAAAATTATGCATAGTCATAAATATATTATTATTTTGGTGGTGGCGTCGATGCTTATTAGAACTGGTGCGAATTACTAGTTTTGCGATCGTACTTCTGTTTTTATCTAAATGGTGATATTTACCTAGCGGAAAATGCATGAAACTTTCATGTCCAGTTCTTTTTCGTTTGAGGCGTTTTCACGGTGCATGGTATTTCACTAGGCGTGTAAAGAAAGCTAATTATGCTGTTGCTATCATCGCCTGAAATTACCAAAGCTTGAACAGTGGAGTAGGTCAGATTTGTGGTCTGAAGCGATGTCTTACGTAGTATGAAAATGATATAGGTTTGGTAGTTGATTTATTTTGACTGACAGAAACAGCAATGATATCAGAGATAAAAAATTACCATATCAAGTCAAAAGGTAGCGGGTCTACAACGATTATGAACGTTAGGAGATGCCTCAAACTGTGAAGAGATAGGTGTAGGAAAGCGAAGCAGGATAGAACCTCGCCGAAAGTTATGTCTCAGAGTGAAAAAGTAGAAGGCATTCAAGAAATCTTCTTTTCTGGTGATCTTAATGTTCACAAAAGAATGTCTTCATTTTTTTCGCGATCATAATTTTCACCCCACGTTCATCCCTTTCGTCCTTTTACAACGTCATCATTATGGATCCATTTTTTAAAGAATTTTATGAATACGTAAACGTGGTTTCTTCCGAGTTGTTGAAACGTCTTTATAATATCAGCATTTAGCGGATATGTCATTAGCTGAAAGTTGGTGAGATATAGTCCTATGAATATCAATGTAACGGGTATTCCGAATACTTTGCCGTTTCTTTAAGCTTCAGTTCCGGAAATCGCGGGTCACCTGATGATTGGTGAGTCACCGTACCATTAAACTGTGAACAGATGGGAAGGAAATGACTGACCGCAGGTAACGAGTGGTAGAACGGTTGTGAATCCCGTCTGATGTGATATGACGAGGAATAAATCCGGAAGGAACTGCTGATCAAGTAGATCCCGTTTTCTTATCTTCACCACCATCGTTCTCGCATCCTAATCCCTTGTCACCATCGTCGTTCTTGTTATGGTGATATACCTCTCTGATATTGGCTTTATCGATTTATGAGTGTTATGTATGTATAAATATAATTTCATCCGAGGTGACTAAATGTCTCGTCATGATATCATCCTTGCCCTCATTAGCTTTGTTATAGTTTTGTCGTTATCTTTATCATAATCAATGTCATCATCATTACGATAATTGATATCATCAACATCAAATTCTTTCTCATAAAAAAAGCAATATATCATCGGTTTCCTCATTGTTATTGTCCGTCGCTGTTTGCATCATTATATACTCATCTTCGTGAGATTCATCGTTATCAGATTCATAGCTATCGTCAGTTTCATGGCATTAAAGGATTTGCTACTGATAAAGCTTGAAAAAGCCAGAATGATGCTAAGCAGATATTTTCCTAATTTAATTAGGAACCATGTCATGACTTCACTACATTTATTCCTTTCATACTCACCATCATCTGCGTTGTTCGCAAACAGCACCTGACTTGTCGAAAACCAGATTTCATTGCGTCTTTTACCGCCTCCTTGTTCTTAATTGCTTCGGGTAGGAGCATTTGAGCAGACCACGGCTCCATGCTATTTGAGAACCTGTAGTGTCAGACACCTCTCACGTTATTTTGTTCACTAGAGTTACGATTTTTCAGGAGCTGAAAGATACCACCTGTAGATCCTCATTTTTACGACATATTCTCATGTGCTGTGGAATTGGCCAACAATATTGCAAACCTGTTACGCGGGCTTCCATAGAGTACAAAAGGTAGGTCAGTGCGCTTGACTACACTTTGATGAATGAGCGTCTAAGGCTGCACTAGTTCAAAAAAGAGAAGACTGCCACAGACAACAGAAGTTTTAAAAGGACGAGGCCCCCTTGCCTGTTGGCTCCAGTCGGTAATGGCGAACTTGTATTGCAGAACCGAGAATACCGTGTTGATAACAATTAAGCTCTAACCTCTTCGATCACTTCATTTGCTTCTTCAGAGGTACTTCTCATAGATCATCGACAGATGTGCCGAAGTGCCTTTCTAGTGCCTTTTTTATAGGAGGATTGACGGACAGATGGTTGGTAACACTTTTTTTACATCAGTTTGCCAGATGTAATCGCGAAGCGGTGAGGTTGATTTTATATATATGTATATATATTTGTCCGTCAGTTGTCATATAAAAGAGGCAATAATTGTATTCTGAAGACGGACTGAGCTTGGTCCGAAACATCAGATATTCCTAATTAAAGAATATTGTAGGCATTGTCTATGTATAGGTGGCGAATAGAAACTGTTTCAGCTGCCTCTGATTTACGGATTTGTTCTTCTGTTCATGAGATCTCTAAGGGACTCCAATGAAGGAGCCAAGAGAGAACGAATTCAGCAAGGCAGAGGTTAAAATTCAATCTAGGGGAACTCAAGTCGTGTTCAGTCAACAGATTAGTGACTCCACGACCTGTTAAATTCAGTACACTTAGGCTCTAATTAGTGCAACTATAACTCGTTGTGGGAAATTAATCTCAAGAATGTGGAACATCAAGTCGGCGAAATCAATAGAATATTAAAAATGGCTCGGAACATGCTTAAACGAATGAAATTCTAAGAAACTGTCCCTTTGCTTGAAGGAGAAAGTTTTTGATCGGTGTAATTCCTAATGCTAAAGTGTGAGTTTGACATGTGGATCGTGCAGAGAGCTTGCTTCCAGACTGCAAACTATGATATATCATGGATTGGTTATGAATGGCAAGAAGAATCAGAAAAATGAACGAATGAATATGAGCACGAGCAACAGTCTGAAATGTCATTGTCCATTAATTTTGTACCTGTTTGAATCAAGAACATATAGGCAGTTTAGATTACGCTTGCACGTTCAGTATTACAGCATGAGCAAGGGTCTGAATAATTCCTACCTTCCTACCTGACAATCGATTGGTTACATATTTTAACCCGTAATATGAGTCGTTCGCCTTTCATATTCCCGAGGTAAACCGACTATTCTCAGTATTGCCTCTAGCGGTGTTTATATACGGATACAAGGTAACACCAGTTCTGTAAATAACAAGCACCAGTGATATGCAAACAATGTTCACCTAGAGGCACAGTTATTTGGTACACTCTGAAATATTGCCTGAGTTTATCATACTCACTGATAAACTTCTTGTCAACGCTGTTGAAAATTTACCTCATGTAATCAAGCGCGTTCTCCTTCAGAATCGGTTACTGGCATAAGATGTTTATGAACATGACAAGCGATCGTTGTAGCTTAGGTCTCAATTTTTCTATCATAGATCCGTCCAAATAACGCTAACAATTATGAGAATAAACAGTTATGCTTGCTGGTAGACAAGTGAAATAAAGATTTCCACCGTTAGCTGTCCGTTGTGCAGTACAAACCGAAACATGTAAACACGTCGTTTAAGCCGCGTTACTTGTAAAGAGGAATACGACCTTTGCTTCAGCAGTGAGCGTTGCCTTATATCATACAAAAATATCGTTTCTAACTGTCTGACCTTATACATCTAGGTTGTTCTACTACTTAAGCTCGTTCAACTTCAGATTACGATGTCGAAACAACAATAATCGATT